GATTTGTTTTAAAACTGAACTCTAATGTAATCCCACTAGAGTGTGCTGTAGTCCACAATCTAGAGAATCAGATCCTCATGCTGTCTTGGCGATGTACACTAAAAAGGTCAGGAGATATACTGTATTTGGTTTCTTTTATTTTCCTCTGTGTGGAAAAATGAACTTGTCTCATGTGAATATTCTCCTGACATTTCCTATTCTATATAAAAATTTTGTAAGTTTTCTGCATCTGTGTTGTCTTGTATCAATGGAAATATATTTGTCCAACATCAACATGCATTTATACTGTACCATCTAATGTATAAACTATAGGTGTCCGTTCATACTTGCTTATCTTAGCAGCTGGAGCTAATCCCAACTGTCATTGGGTGAGAGGCGGGTGCGCCTGGACAAGTCGTCAGCCTATCACAGGGCTGACACATAGAGACAGACAACCACTCACACTTTCGTCTGTAAGAACAAGTTGAAGTACCCGGACAAAACATGTAAACCCCACACAGAAAGACCCTGGTCAGCCATCAGGTTCGAATCTGGACCTTGTTGCTGTGAGGTGACAGTGCTAACCACTGCACTACTATGCCACCCCAAACTATAAGTCATGGACTCTCAATCATAAGTCACCAAACCGTGACTTGCTGTCTCTAAAATAATACATACCAGTATGTTCTGACGCTGACACACTGCCCATCACAAGTACAGAGCCCACAGACTTCGCTGTGAAATGTTTGGGCCCATAGATTCCAGTTAATTTTATTTCTCCATGTACAGTGTGTTAAAAGTTTTCCCTTTTTATCTGTAGACAGAGGAATAATCAGATAGAAATGTCACCATACCATGAAAGTATTCCAAATACTTTTTTAAAATTAGATCCACTTTCATAATTTCACAGCTACATGTTATTTTTAACTCTCTAGTCTCTATCACAACAGGAGAAAAGGACAAGCTTTTCAGGAATAGTTTTCCAAGAATGAATTTGTCTGAATATTTTATATTTCCTTTTCACCAAATTCCTACATTTCTATAACAACAGTAAATGCATCACCGCTCAGCCATCAAAAATAAACCCTTAGCTTACAAGAAACCGTCTCCATCAGATTCAAAATGTTTCTGAGGAAATTATTTTCATTCAATATCAAAGAAAGTACAAATTTATATGGTGTAAAGTTTAGTCATGCTTATTCATCCCAGCAGCTGTACAACCTGTGATGACTTCATCTGAGACCAGTGACCTCTGAGGGTGTGAAATTGTCCTCCTCATTTTCTTGTTTCTCCATTTCTCTCACACCCACAGCCTCAACTGTACACTCCACACTCAGACAAAACTCATTTGAATCTTTCTCATCTTGCTGCACGACTCTCCTCATGTCCTCACCTCTCATTTCAACAGAGCAGCATCTCTTTCCTCCAGTCATGTGAAGCCCCTCATCAGGCTCTGTCTTGCTTCCTGTGTCCTCTTCTGTTCCAGTAACTGTACCTACAGAGCTGTGACTGCAGCTGCTGCTGCAGGACGGTGTGCCTTCTTCAGCACATCTGCTTGGTTCTTCATGCCATGGATCCTGCCAGATCTGCCCCCCCTCTACATCCTCAACACTTGTTTCAGTTGAAATGACATGTTCCTCCTCTTCATCAAAGACCATCTTTCCAGAATTCATGTCCACTACCACATCTGGGCAACCCAAGTCCTCTGTGAAGTTCTCTGGATCCCACAACTCACTCACTTCCTCCTCTTCATTCTCAGAGTCAGGCGCTGTATGTTTTCTAATGCGAATTACTGCATCCCACAGGGACCTGGGATACTGGGGAACTTCTCTGTGAGCCAGGTCCAGGGAAACACTTCCACCTCCCTCTTGAGGAGGACGGGTAAAGCTGGGTGGTAGATGTGGAGGTGATGCAGAGGGAAAGGAGGGCGAAGACTGAAGAGATTCTTCACTAAAGTCCAAATGAAGAGGGGGAGGGAGAGAGTCAGCAGCATCAGGATTTAGCGATGGGGGACAGACGGAGTCCATTTCCGAAAGAGAAACAGGCTCTCTGTCTGACTCGTGTGGTGGAGAATGAAGCTCAGAGGGTGAGAGCACATCTAAAGCTGTCCGTGGTGCAGTGTCCTGTAAAGTTTCGGTTTCTGTCAGAATGATTTCTTGGGGTATTGTTTGTTCCAAAAGACCTGCAGGATCTTCACTGGCATCTATTTGTGATAGCTCTTCAGTCATATAACTCCCATTTACACAAGAAGCTTCTTCCACTTGCCTGAATGTCTGCAAAAGTTTGACTTCTATTTGAGTCTGATTATCGGTCACACTCTCTTTGGATACTGATGCTTCTAAAAGAGCTGCAGGACTTGTGACATCTTTTTCTAGCTGCTCTTCAGTCATATAACTTTCTTGGATACAGGCAACATCCTCAGCTTTGACATATTTGAGCTGTAGCTGTAAAATCTTGATATCGATAACATTTTCTTTGGCTGTTTCAAGAGTCTGCTCCAAATGGTCTACAGGATCCCTATCTGCTTCTTTACTTGGTTCCTCGTCAGTGACATTACACTCTTCTACACTAGTATCATTGTCTGGTTGACTGTTTCCAGGTTGTTGCTGTGATACCAACTCTCCTGTCATATCTTTGGTACAGCAGTCAAATGCATTGCTGATCTGATTTTCTGTTAGCTGTGATGTTTTTTGCTGTTCATTCTGGTCCTTGGTGCACAAGATTACAGCAGACATTGCTTCTACAGTTGGATCTATTAAATCAAGATCGGGAGGAGGAGAAGAAAGGGGGCTTGTGTTTGACACTGAGATGTATGAGAGAGCTGTAAGGTCACAGAGCAAAGATGAATTAGAGAGATCTTTGGATGGTTGAGAGGAGCTATCATTTTCAACAGGCCGACTTGTTCCTTCTTCGCTTGGAGATTCAGGCAGACTAGTAGTTTTCTGTGACATTCTGATGTTTGGTTTGAGTTGGGAGTCAATGTCCTCTTCAGAAATATTAAACTCTTGCTTGTAAGATCCTGCAAAATCCTCACCATCTTCATTTGTTACCGCTTCTTTGGCATCGTCATCTTTCAAACGCACGCCGTCCTCAGTTTGGCCATCGTTGAAGTAGTTCTGTGATTGTTTCTCCTGTGTTGTGTTCCTTGGCTTTTTCCTAATTGCATCATGAATGACATTTTTTATTGGAGAAGATTCAACCTCCTCGTCCTGCTCCTCAACATGCAAGTCAAGGAATGACGTAGCATCTTCAGGTTGCTGCTCAGTGACACATTCAAACAGAGGGATTCCTTGGACTCTTTCACCGTGCTCCTCCAAGGTTCCAGAAGCTGAAGAGGGAATGCAGGTAGAAGACATTTCACTTTTTTTTTCAGCTGCCCTTTTTTCAGTATGATCTAAGTCTTCCACTTTTATGTGGAAAGGGTGTGTTTCTGAGTTTTGGTCATTCTGATTGTTTGATTCAGGCGAGATGGTTGAAGGAATATCAAGCGCACTGTGCTCAGTGAGTGCTGTTGAGGCTAAATACTGAACATGCTCTTTCTCTGGCGATGGAATCAGTTCCATTTTAACTACAACACATGTTGTGTCAATAACCAGGAGGCCTTTACAGTCCTCAGATTCTGTGTCCTTCTTGATATCCAATCTCCTTACTTTGACATCGACTGGATGAACTTTAGAGCCATCCTTCTGGCTGTGCGGATCACCTGATTTTAATTCCTCATTGTTTACTTTCAAACAGCAAGTAGATGAATATTTAGTTTCAGCCGTACTTGTGAAACTCGGCTCTTTCCACAAAGGATATCTGATTCCCCCAGGCTGTGCTGACTCTGCAGCTTGTCTCCCAGATGTAGAATCTGTATAGTTTAAATTATTTTTTCCAGAGGAAACGACGCCTGTCTCCTCCTGTTTGGTTTTGAGATTTCTCACATCAGAAGTATTTGACTGCTTTGTAAGTACCAGTGCTTTGAAGTCTACTTCATCTGCAATCTTCATGTGATTGTCATTACTGCCCAATAAACCTTTAGAATCTCCTTCTAATTCTGTGTTTTTGATGCTTCTTTGTGAGGGGCAGCGTGGCAAGAATGGAGTTTCCGTGATGCCAGCTATTCGAGACACCAAGCAGAATACAGTCATCCCACCGGTCTTTTTATTCAATCTGAACTCCCTTCCTTCTATGATCTTTGAGGATGTTTGCTTATTCATCTTTGTATTTTCGACTGCTTGTATCACTTGTGGCTGCTGCAGGGACAACATATACTCACACTGCATGTGTGTATTCTGGATACTGATAGGACCTCTTGGCTGTATGGCATCCGTTTCCCGTCTTTTGTGCTCGAGTCCACCCAGCTCTGTACAGGTTTTATTTCCATCTGGTTTTGTACAGGCTTTTTTCTCTCCCTTCTTCTTATCTTGTGGATGCACAGAGACATCCTGCTTTCTAAGTGTGAGCTGTGACCAGTAGCCTTGTCTCTTACCTTCCTGTTCCCAGCTGGTGTGGTGGACTACAGGTGAACTTCTATGTGGGCTGTTATAGGGAGGAGGAGCAATGTAGCCAGGAGGGTGGCTAAACATCCTCCTTTGGTATCTTGTCTTTTCTTTCATGTCCAACATGTGGCTTTTGTCAGAGGCAGGAGCTTGAGTTGGATAACAGGTCCGAGTCTGCAGTCTACCTCCTCTATCCCACACTCCTGATTCACTGAGGTTTGCAGATTGTCTGAGATGTTGCAGTGCTATTCTCTGAGAATCTGGACCACTCCTGCCTTCCCTCTCCAAAGCCCTGCCGCTTTCCAACAGTCCCTGAGAGGCACCTCTTAATTCAGCCTCTACATGTCTCCTCCTTGGAAGTGAATGGCTGTACCGAGCTGCCCAAGCCTCCAGTTCTCGATAGCTGCTGTTGGTCTTTTTAGTAGAAACTTTTATGTTATAGCAAACAGGACTAGGGGGCTCCCACCTGCTCTGCCGTCCCTCCCTCAGAAATTCTCTCTTGTATTCCCTCGCTGTTTGTTGAGTGGCTGTGGCTTCATGTGGCTGATACTTGCCAGGATCCTGGTGCTGCTGAGTGTGACGGTCAAGAATAAAAGGGAAGTGAGACAAAGCAGGGGCACACAGCTCTGGGTCTGTCCAGACAGTGTACGCTTGTAGAGCCTCTGTTCTTGATCCTGGTATGGTCCTGTAGCTAGACTCCCTGCCTTGATCCCGAGGTTCACCATATGGATAATGGCATGCCTGATGCCTGTCATGGTAACTGAGAGTAAAATATTGGGAAAATATGTGCAATAATTCAAACAGGAATATACAATTTCTAAAAAGATGACTGTTTGTTTTATGATACATCATTTCCATTGGTTCCATTCATGAGCTCTAGTGTCACTTTATTGTCTCTGCATGGTGCAAAACTGATATTTAATAAGTGAAAATAATATGTTACTTAAAAAAATCTGCAATGTGGAATATAAAGCTATTCTGGATATTGTGTAGTTAGTTCAGAGTTACATAGTCCATACAGATGAAACAAATAGGTAAGTGACATTTTGTTGAGCAATTAGTTTGTTGATTATTAACCATGCATTGAGATTAATAATCAAAATCTTAACATCAATTGACACAGGTTTCAGAGCCCTGAACTCACATATGTGTACAGTTTATCCCAGGACTGGTACCAAATTTGGCATAAAGATGTGATTGACCCTTATTCTCAGGCCAAAACTCCATCATGTGGTTGATACACAGATCTGAAACATGGGAAAAATTATACAATCAGATACCTCAGACATGTTCTTCACCTACTTTAAATTAAAATATTTGAAAATAGAATTGCATCTAACATTGAATGATACAGGCTATATATTTACTACACAAGTTTTTAAATAAGATTAATCAGAAATGTAATATATATTTTTACTAGATATTATTAGATAAACGCATTACCGCCTACCTTTCTTCAGCTGCTACTTTCCGATTATCATCCTGACTGCTCATACAGTGACATGAGGTCTAATGAAGTCAAAAGCGGACAACCTGTTTTAAAATGCCAGTGGTTTTCAGTCACCCTCCCACCCTACACACGCTCCCGTCACTGTAAGCCAACCCTCCTCTCGTCCAGCCAACCTGCCCAGTTCCAATAATACAGGAATTTTTTCATCAGGTTTTTGAAATACTATCTTTACTTCCATCATCCCCTCAGCTACATGGAATCTGAGATTTACTGTTACACTAATAAAAATAAAAAATAACAAATTTAATTAGTCATACTCAAATCAAACAGACACAAAAAGGAGTTTTATGAAGAAAACTGATTCACAGTACAAAAACTTTGACAGTTTTATAAGGTTTAGTTGTAACTGTGTTAGGTTCAGTATTATGACAATATTTTACACTTAGATTACTGCTAAGTCATTGCTCACATATCTGCACAGTATTTTTCAGCAAAAAAGGCAACATTTAGGTTCAAACTGTAAATTCCAGTTGCTGTTTTCTATCTGGATATTATCAGTCCAAAGACACTCTGGTCAACATCAGTACCTCTTAGCAACTTTGCCCAAATTACAAAGAACATCAACAAAATCAGTGCTATGCTCTTTGCACGACACCCACATGGAGGTGTTTGGCGTCATGGCAAGCAGACGGTCCATAGGCACAGGGATCTGCTGTTTTGTCAGCTGAACAGAGCAGAGGGAGAGATGGGCGGCGGACGTGTTGTCTCCCTTTCTTTGAAACTCTCCAGCGTAACAAACAGGCTTTCCTTTTCTGAACAGAAAATCTGTACGTCAGCAGAGAGAGGGGATGAAGTGTGCACAGAAAGCAGCCTGCAAGGGTGGCAATCTGTTCATGTTGATAGGATATACCACAGCAATCACTGTGGTAGTCCCAGCCAGGTCCATGACAACATGCTGGGCCCCACTTGATCCAGAGTCATTTGTTTTAGTTTCACACGCCTCTTTTCATGCACTCTGAAAATCGTTAATCTTGCATGAGGCTACCCTTATACAGGTGAACTTCATGTATATCCTTCACTGTCTCATTTTTTTCCAAGAACAACTGTGCCTTTTCTTACTGGTAGCATGGCTCTTCCTGTGCTTCCTAACTACTGCTGCTACTGTTTCACAGCATGTCCACTACCCTACTGATGCTCTTGTACCCTCTCTCACCTTTACAAAGTCTCACAATCTTATTTCTTATTTGTTCAGGCGATTCTGCGGAGCCATGTTGCATTAGACACAATGCAGGCCGAGACTAAGAAAGCTGTGGTGTACTACAATTCATCTAAAATGGTACAATTTTAAACATTTTAGCGCTATTGCACTGAAAGCAAGCTCTTTTTTTTACATGAGTGACAAGTTGTATTAACTTGCACAGTTAAAAACAGCAATGCAGCAAAAAGTAAAAAGACTGAGTATAATCTGAAAATCTGTACTTTTAGTGGATGATCTAGCAACAGTTAAGCAGTTCTTTCTGACTAGTGCTGGGTATCAAACTTCAATACTTTTATGGCATCGATCAAATTATGTCAGTACCATCGAGTGTCAAAAAATCCTTTTCTACATTTTTATATATTGCTGTTAATATTAACAGAACTTAAGGTTTTGCTATATAGGTTTATGAAACTGCTTTGAGTGCACAAAAAATTCACTCAAAAATAAAACTGAGTATGTATATTTTATGTTAAAATTGATTTTATAAAATTGATGTGGAAAAAAAGTATTGTTTAGGAACTGGTATTGAAGTCAAGGTGTCCGTATCAAAAACTCTGAAATGACACCCAGCCCTATTTCTGACAGCTTCATTTTATAAAATGCATTCACTGCTCTTTAAAAAAATCTCTTTCAAGGCACCTATGAAACCAGAGGCCATAACTGGTTTCAGCAGACATCTGTACCTTCCGTCACAGGTCTGTTCTTAGAAATGCCCTGTAGATATTGATGTTTTGTTTGTCATCACGATGTACAAGCTCCACATTAAATCTGCTTGGCAAGTGCTCCTCATAGAAACCTGTGGTCTCATGCTCTTTTCGCATCTTGGATGAGAGATATACCACAGCACCATTCTTGCACAAATGAGTTAGTGTCTCCACTAGCAGTGCATAGGTCTGTGGGAGATAAATGATATCTGCACAAAGTACCAGATCCCAGTCAGAAGGGAAGTTCATGTGGTCCTCACCCCAGGACAGAGGGAGGATGGTAGGAGGAGGAGAAGTCCAGCCACTGGAAGGCATGTTAGCTGAGACGTTAGCCTGAAGCTGTGGGATAGCCAAAGGAAGATCTGTGAGGGTCACAACTGCACCTGAAAGGACAAAAATACAACCGATTCCAATGTGATGAAATGCTCAAGTTTGTGGGAAAGTTGTTTAAAGTGGAAAGATTTAAAACATATGTTATGTAAAGTTTAGAAAAGTTATGGTGCGTTAAGCAAAGATATGTAACGTTTTGTAAAGTTATGGTTGTGCAACCTGTGTGTCTTGTACATGTAGCCTAGATGAAAATCAGAAATCAGAAATATTTACAGATGAATGCACCACATACAACATGTGCTGAATAAGTGACAGCGGGGATTTTACACCGCCACAGAAGCAACACCGGCAGGTTTGCACTGCCTCTGGTGGAAGCAACTGTAAACTGCACATCTATATAAACGATTGAAGTATGGATGGAGCCACAGAGAGTTGAGCGTGTGAGTCAAACCAAACAGTAACTCTTCAAACAGACTGATGTAGAATAACTTAACCAGCCAGAAAAGGTCACTCATAACCACTACCATGAATGTATTGTATTTCTCCGCAGTGTAAATCAACAACATACCGAGGCGTGCGGCTAAAATCCCGACTACACCAGTCCCTGCTCCCAGCTCTATGATCCGCTTTCCTCTCAGCTCCACACACAGCTCCTCGAAGTAACGACACAGGTATAGTGCCTGTGTAGACATGCAAATGCACGCCGTTATTGTCAGACAAAAGCAAAAATAAGCCTTTTCAATAACATCAACACAAACTGAGCTCGCTCTTACAGCTTCCCAGACCGGGGCAGCCACGCCGAGGTTAGCCCCGAAGACCTGTCTTATCTTCAGCTCCTCACCGAACAAACTGTAAACATCTTCTTGAGAAAATGTTTCGGTAAACAAACCGTCGTCGACGGGAAATGGGTCGTCTACGTCCCCAGCACAATTCATAGTTAGCAGTGAATAAACTCAGTTAATAATCACATTAACTATGCTTACGAGCACTAGTCATCTTCCATGCCAAGTAACGTAACGGCTAGTTAGCTTAGCCGGAGGTCGTCGCGAAATTAGTTGGAAAACGAAAGTCAGTTTTTCAAAGTATACTGCTTTGACTCGGTACTGTTTAACTAACTTAGTTATAAGTTTAATTTAGCTAACCTATTATTAACTGTTTTCAGCAAGCACTCCGTGAACAACAAATATATCTATACATTAATATAATGCATTACAATGTTATAAGCCATTACATTACTACTCTACTTTAGCTGTAATTTTATGTATGTGCCATGGGTAGGTCCCAATGTACAGTATGTTGTGCGAGGCTTTTAATTTGAAATGTACAATAACACAAACCGTTTCCGGGTTAGGCAGCCTAGGGACTCTGATTAATAATACATCCATAATCAATGTATAAGTATAGGTTATATTCCACCTTTGTACATTCAATATTGCTGACGTTATTTTGAAAAACAAACAAATCCATCATGAGGTTTAAAAACAAAGAACAAAAGGCTAATAAATTTACAATAAAGAACAGAAAATAAGCAAATCCTCACATTTGAAAAGCAAGAACCATCAGATATCCAGCATGTATGTTTGAAACATAACTTTATAATTATCATTGTTATCAAAATAGGTGATAAATTGTCTAATGTTAGGGTGATTTTTATTTTATGCACTTAAGAATGGTTTATTTTATAGCACACATAAGTTTACATACT